CTATAAAGGAAAGTAGTAGTTTTTTTATTAGTAGTAGTATCAAATGAGGATTTTATACTTACTTTTGTTTTAGGACTGCAAAAAACTACAGGAAAGTCTTTATGCAACAATTAAAGCAGGCAGAAACAGCCTTCTTTACATGTAGTCACTGAATCATTTAGATTACAAAGCAATACACAGAACCTTGAAAATCATTTTTTATAAGTCTGTCAGTCTTTATTTCCCCCAAACTTGTACTTTGCAGGTTATCAGAGAAGAGGTTGAGTCACTCAGTTAAAATAGATCATATTAAAAGGAAGGAAAGGAGAGAGAGAAAGAGAAACACCTCTGCTTCCTGCCAGACGTTCTCTCTCTTTGGCTCAATTACTGAAGTTTGTCAAGGGCTGTTTAACAGCCATTCCTCCCACTCTTCACTCAGCACAGAATCAGGCTGATATTTCACGATCCTTTCTTACTCTAAAGCAAACTAAAATATTAATTTGCCACTTTATTTAATCTACATCTTCACAAGATTTTTTTGTACGACCTTCAGAGGAAACTCTGTCCTACATCCTTTTACACACTGATAATAACTGTGATCTCATTTAGACTTTTCTTATGGTTATACTAAATCATTCAGCTGAGTTTTTCTCCTTAGCTAATATTTTAAACAGCCTTATTTGTTACTCTCCTCCCTCCTTTCTTTGACTATTTCTTAAATTATGTGGGTATTCACATCACAACACACTGTTTTGGCAATAGCATTGCATCTGTTATGGTTCATAAGCCATCAGAACCACTTGCTTTTTTCCCAGTATTGTTACTTAGTCTACCCCATTTCATATTTAGTTTCTCTTTTACAAAGCACACAGCTAAGGAACAAAAACACAAAGAGGACAGGTCAAACCCAGCAGTCTGAAAGCATATTCTGTGCAGGAGGGCTGCTGGGACAACCTTTTGAGATGCCAGCTCAGGTCGTGGAGGTCTCTACACTGCTGACAACTGACCCAAGTGGCAGGAGCGCTGTGATACCAGGAACAGCACGGAGACACTGGGATGAGCAGCTGAAATGCACCTCACAGTTCACCTACTTTACTGGTTAAAAAAAAAACAAAAAAAAAAACAAAAGGCAGCAAAGGAATACCTAGGAAAATAGTTAATGAAATCTTATGTCTTCAAGCCACCTTATGACATAAGATTATTAACCTATTAGAAGGAAAAAAAGGGGAAAAGAATGAGAGCCAGAGTATAAATATTGTTTCTATGCAAGTTTCAGAGGTTTGCTCATCTAACTGTCAAATCATACTACTGAACACTAAAATTGTTTGTTAAACAAATTGCATTTTCTACTGAAAACGTATGAACAAAGACAGCTAATTGAAAAGGACCATCATAGCTCACTGTCTGTGTTCATTACACCTGAGAATGTAAAATGTTCAAAGTAATTTATCTATTTTACAGCTTTAGCCTAAGTACCTAGGCTTGAAAATTACATGGTATTCATCAAGGGGGGGGGAGGGAGGGGGGGAAAAAATCAATGAAAATTTATCATAGTGCAACAATATTATAAGCAGAATATATTTTACGACATCCCTTGTCATCCCTTCTACAAAGAGATAATTTGTATTTCTTAGTCACAACAATGAAGCCATGGAAAAGTTAAAATGACTACCCACCTATTCTTTTTAACCAGGTCAGCAGATTATATAGAATCATATTGCTTTTCTGTACCAGACATGCCTCTGCATCATCATATTTAGTGCTTACTGAAATTCAGGCCATTTCAAAATGATGTGTTTTGGATAAACTTATATGCTTATGAAAAGCTATAAGGCTTTTGAAAACAAATCCATCACAGCAATAACTTTTGCAACTCGGTAACAGTATAAAATTCTAGAACACGTGGTCGAAGTTGTACTGGATAGTACATTCCATTATGAAAAAATAACCCACTATTTCAAAACTAGACTCTCAAGCTAAGAGTCTGATTACACTCAGTCTGCTCCAAGAGCCATCGAAACTGAATCCATGGTTTCCAAACCCCACGCGTATAGGCACGTTTGGCTTCAGACTTCTGTTTTCTGCTAAACTTAGCTGCCCATCACAGGCTTTTTTTTTTTTTTTAAATTAAAAGCAAATTGCCTCTCCTTTTGCATCATATTTCTTCCCCTTACTGCTCAAGGAGGCAGGCAGAATTCCTAAACAAGACTCTCCTAGAAGACTTAAAAAGTTCAGTGAGGATGGCAATGGCTCATGTTTTACAGGATGAAAGGGGGTGAAGGGAAGGGGAAAGATGGAGCTAGCTGCCAAGGTAAGCCTACTGTACAAGTTAGTGTCCTTGTCACTCAGAGATTTCAGTTCTGACCCACACTGAATTCGAGAGATCAGTCTGCTCCTCTACACACCTGCTAGAAATGCAAATACAAATGTTAATTAACGCACTGCTTATGCTATTACCCATGCCATTTGAATGTGACGGAGCCACTAAACTGTCATAGGATGCTGGTATCCAGTGACAGAGAAATATATGCCAAATTTTACTATCCATCTGCTCTCAGAACAATCTTCTGGGAGAAAGGAAGTAAAAAAAAATAGTGGTTGCACCTCACAGGATTTAGTTACATTTATCCTTATATCTTATATGCTAATGCTAACAAGAGTCAAACATACTACAACCCTAACTAATATGCTTGCTTGTTAACTGCAACCATACTGAATGAAATCAGTCAAGGACTTCTGTTACCTGTCCAGTTAATGCTGTGACAGTGCATGTCATTCCTGGCTTGCCACCTGCCAGGAGCTTCTTGCCACAGTCCCCTTCATGCCTTCCATTCAGTTTGGCCCAAGACACTGACACATTACGGTCAGCATACTAAGTGCTAGTATTTCATGCTTGGATGCTTTTAATTGCATTAGGAGAAATGATGATTTTTTTTTCTCCACAGTGCTTAAAAGCACTATCCCCTAAACTGGCTTTATCACCTCATTGAAGATAATTAAATTTTATCTAGAAATAAGAAAAAAGAAAACAGTATGAAGTAAATTATCCACAAGGTAAAGAAGCTACCTAGAGATAAGTGAGTTTTTGTCTAAGATAAAACAAGCGCTCACCAGAATTGTATGTAAGCAAACATATAAAAAGCACATGCTCAACGACATTTCACCTCTGCTCTGAGGAAACAGCGTAAATGCAGCAGGTGAGGCCTGAAGAGGTTGGCTGAAATAGTGTTCTCTCTTTGGCTCCTTCTGCTCAAATGGCCTGCTACTGGAGTCATCTCTGTTAGCCTAATGTAAAAGTATGGAAGTATGCCTTGGAATAACTCAAGCTCATGCCGAATAACAGTTACTCACTGAAGAGAGGAGGAAAAACCCACCTACACCCCAAATTCCCTGGGTTTTGTGCTGTGCTCCACCCCTACCCAACCCTAGTTCATTATGCGTGCTAGCACAATAGGCTGGGCAGGGCTGGAGCTCTACTAACATTTACAAACAGCTCCAAAGAGTAAGTGACTTTCAGCTGTGCCTACACGATCTGGTCTGAAATACCTCAAAATATGCTCTCTAATAGGTCACCTCCACTGTTACCGAACACAGTACAGCAGCAGCAGCAATGCCACGCACTATTCAAATAACCAAACCCTACAGGAGATTCAACACATCAAAACAAGAGTATTGTAAGTTGAAATGTGACCTCAGTTATACTTCTGTAAGTTCATATACCAGTGGACTACCTTTTAATTTCCAATAGCTAATCAACATTATTGCTTCCATAGCTTATAAGCACACTGGTAACTCTACTGAGTTAAAAAACTAGCAAATAAAACAGATATCTTACTATGATCTGAACCATAGCAGCTAATGATTTTGTCCAGTTCCATTACTGTATATTAAGAACATGCTAGCACCTTCTGCACACTCTTCACTCTGGGTCAATTCCACAGCAATTTTGATTTCTATGGCAAGAGAAAATATTACTTTTAGAACACCTTGGATCATTTCCTACCGGCTTTCATTCTTCCTGATATCAGATCAATTATTCTAGAGCTCACTATTTTTGTGGATAGTTCACATACCAGTAGGTTAAGAACTGGATTTTTAATACTGCAAGTGCTAGACCTACTTTATTTCCTTAAAAAAAGGAAGTGAAATGTAAATAGATGAAAAGTCCCGACAATTTTGAAGATAGCAAACTGCAGACTATTAACCCTGATATTTTAGACCTTGTTATCATTAATCAATGGCTGCACTCCTCATAAACCAAGGCATCTACTCAACTGTAAGGATCTAACGCATACGGAACAGTTTCAGATTCAAGTGTGTAGTTTTAAACTTTCAGTCATGTTTAAAGCACTGTTAGGAGTTCTACAAGTTTGATTCAGCTACATTTTCAAAAAGGTCAGTTTAAAAAAAAAAATCCAAAGCAGTATAAAAAACTAAATGCAGAAGTTACAGACGGGAAGTATCTGACAACTACATTACATTCACTAAATCAGAATCTCCCAAATGCACTGGCAGTATTGTAATAGCAAATTAAGGTTTTCTATGTCAGGGAAAGAAGTGGAGATTCTACCAAGAAAGCTAGAACAAGCACATAGACTTCTCCCCCAATAGAGATGCTGCTTTCACTGTGACACACCACTAAAATGACAGCTAGCTAGCTGGCTCTCTCCTTTGCCAATACAAATGACCTTTTAGTAGGCATTTTAATTCAAACCCCTTGAAGTTAACTTTTAAGTAGCTATCAGGCTTAATTTTGTTAAGAAATTGAAAAACTGTGAGATACAAGTCTTAATTAAACCATATTGTAGATAGAGAAGTGCAGGAAATGCCATGTTATCCGTTACCTTATACAAAATGCAAATGGCATGCTAAGTAGAACTGATATCAAAACCACATTTCTTTAAAAAGTTATTGCTTCTATTTTGTGCTTTTAAATAAAGTAGCATTGATTTAAGTAAAGAAAATATTTTCTTAGAACCAGGACAGCATGACAGAAACAAGGAATGACAAGGAACACATACCTGAGGCTTCTTGAGCTTTCACCTTCAGACCTGTAAATTAACACACAGATAGGACATTAGACTAGCTGCCTTATAAATGCTAAAAGTAATAAAAATAGTAGATTTCCTTATGCATTTCTCTCCCTTTTCATTTCACTTCCTTTTTCTAAGGCTTTTTATACTTCCCCTGTTAATTAACCATTAAAAAAAAAAACCTATTTAGAATAAATCTCTTGGAATTTAAAAAAAGATAACAGTTGAGGTCAATAATTGCATAATTAAATATATGCTGTCACCTTTGGAACTGTCATAAAAACCTTCTGTAAACATGCAGTAACAAAGATTTATGTTCTGTATTTGTAAATGAAGAACATCAGCCTCCAACATTATTCTAGAAGCAGATTAGCTTTTACCTTTTTAGCCTCTCTTCAATCTTTAGTTGAAAAGGTCACAGACAAATACATTTAGTAATCTAATCCCCAGACTTATCAGGCACTACTTAGAAAGGGATATAATTTGCGAACAAAATTTAAAAACTCACTTATCTGATTCTCACAATTATGCCAAATGAGGGACAAAATATACTGCATTATAGATGCTCTTAACGGTCATATTTTTCTGAAAGTCAGATAATTTTATCAATGAAACTGAAACAACTCCCCCATCCTTTTTTAAAATGGTAAAATTGAATTTGATATCATATATATCAACAGCTTCCATCTCTGAAGAGTAGGAAACTACACTTTTAGCTTTTCACAAAATCCATACCAAAATATATGCAATTAATTGCTCAATTCCGTTCCTTCCTCAACCCAAACCAATGGAGCCTCAGTGCTAGTTGAAACCTTAAATACATCAGATTTTCAAGGTAAAACTGAGAAACAGGAATCAAATATATAAATTAAAGCAGGAGTTTCCAGAATAACAAAACCTCAAAACACCCTTTCCATGTCAAAACCCTTCATAGGGACTCAAAAAGGACATCTGTCCTTTGACATAGATTTTTATTTGCCTGCTGTAGAGCCGTGATGGTGCCTGCACACATCAGCTATCACATCTTAATTTTGTGTTTGCTAGTACAGCAGGGCATAAGATACTACCAGAATTCCTTAATAATCAGTGAAAGACATAAGAACGAACCAGTTTGGATTACTGCAAATACATTTGTTTCAGCATCCTCATCCAGTTCTGGATCCCAGACCCAGATGAATTTTATTAGTGATCACTTCTATGTCTCAGGGAGCAAGACAAATACATATTAAAATACATCCTCAAGTTATCTTGTACTGGCACTGCAAAACACAACTCCTCTGCCACTTTCTGTTGCAGACTTTGTAGTTTATAAAACGTGTCCCCAGGCTTCACTCAGTGAGTTTACAGCACGGAACACAGCTACCTCAGCATGCCATGAAACATCTCCAGAACCAGAGGAGCATAGTGGAACCAGCACAACGCAGTTCCAGGATAATGCGGCTATTCTGCTTCTTGGGCTTCAGTCAGCGTCTTGGTGTAGCAGGTATAACAGACACGCAGGTAAACGTTTCAGTCAGACTCTTAGCACAAAATACAATACCTCTAACTATTTTGGGGTTAGTGGAGGTTTTCTATGCTTACTGTCTGCCTCAGGCCAAACTAGCTTAAAGTTTCAGAAATCTGCCTGCTTTTACAAACAAAATTATACATAATACTTTCCTATTTTTAGGAGAGAAGTTTCATGCTGAAGCTAAATGTTTGTACTTCACACAAATTAAGTGCACATCCAAATCTTTGTAAGACTATAGATGGAGATTACAGTGAAAAGCACAGTTTAAAAACTACCAGATGGACTGCTGTGGTGTTTAGAACATGGCTTCCCCATCCCTGTAAAAATATGAGCCTACGTAAAGTCAAGTAGGCTGAAGCCTTGAAGTTTCTTGATTACTCTGCTTAGATGGGTCGTGCATGGCAGAAGGCAGGAAATAACAAGCTATGCATATAAAGAGTTTATCAATATAAAACAGGGAGCAGAATGGACCAATAAGAAAAGTGATAAGACACTACAAAAGAGGGCCAGGAGCAAAAGCAGAAAGCTAATACAGACAAACTGAGGCAGAAGGTTGGATCTGTTCTAGAACTGAAGGTCCCAGATTCCTCTGTTGTCAGACTCCCCCTTATTCTGCTTCTCTAGTAAAACCTAGTCTTTCCAGATGACAAGATTCCACCTTACCCCTTACCTTCTCTGTATTAATGGTAGAAGGCTGTCTCAAGAGCCTGAAAAAAAAAGTCCTGCTGATAAATCAGGTGAGTCATTAAGGGCTCACATGATAAAAACATCTGGATTTGTTTAATAAAAAGAGTTGTAGTTACGTTTAAGAAAAGTCTGTCAAGTAAACTAAGGTTTGCAGACTCTAGCGCTGAAGCAGTGATAAGCTAGGACCAAAGTTGCCTCCTTAGAACCAAAGACAACTGTATTGCTTTAAGAACATATGCAATGGTAAATATTTCATATCTTCTCTAGTTCATGATTGAAAAGAGACTTTTTTTTTTTATTAGAACAACTTCCTCTCCTGTGACAACTTGCATAGTATGCTGACAGCACCAGAAAGAGTTATGGCTAGCAGAAGTTTCATAATTCTCGTGCCAGGAAACTAACCTAATTTTCAAGATCTCTTGTAGAAATAGGTGCTGAAGACTTGCCTTTCCCCCCCATCCATCATTATATGTTCTAATACTATCTTGATTTTCTTCAAGCTCAAGGAGATCTTTTAGATGCACAGTCTGAGAGGAAAGAGAAAAATGCAGTTGAAGATAAAAAAATCTCTTGTTACACAAGATACTTTGGCAGTGGGGATCTTGAAGGCTGTAGTTCAATGGACTGGGTGTAGGCTACAGAAAGGTGGCCACCTATAGCTACGAAGAAGAATATTGGTTGAGGATACTGACAGCTAATATCATAAAACTACTTTATAACAGAACAACGTAATTCAGTGCCCTGGTGAACTCTACTGCCCAGGGCAAGATGATTCAACTTCTGCCTAGAAGGAAAACATAGCTAGTGCTTATGTTGCATAACCTCCAAATCTAGAACACCCAGGACAGGAGGGAACTCAAGATTTATTGTTGAGCTTAGCTACCTTTCAGAAAAGGTTTCTAAAATTGTTAAAATTGTCTTTTTACTTGACGTGATAAAGAATTATCACCATCCTTCATTTAAGAAAAATTCACAGTTAACAGGATCTTTCACCACTATAAAAAACATACCATAGTATTTTTTATGCCAATATAGTATCTAAAAAGAACAATCTTGACCTTTGTAAGATTTTTGATGACTTGTATTACTGATATTACTATGCATCACTATTGGTATCACAATATTTACTTTAGTGCACATTGAAAAGGTTTTATAAAAACAAGGAATGGAAAAAACAACCTCACAATTCCAGATATAGGAGGGCTCTCAAATTAATATTTAAAAGAAAAGACAGGATCTAATACTGAATGGATGGTGATATTCACTTTATTTTATTCAAAACCTTTCAATGTATAAGCATACGCATAAAACCTTAGAGATTACAGGAGCATTCTGTTTTTCTGTCCTGACAGACTGCCTTAATGACACATGTAATCTGACAACCTGTCTTCATACATACCATGTCACCTTTTAACACATTCAGATGAAGCAGGACAGAGACGAGACAGTGGTAAAGGCTAAATTCTAGTATCAAGCTGCAAATTCATTAATTCAGTGCTGAGACTTTATTCATGAGTCTCTTGTGTTTCCATTCACATGTTTGGAATCTGTCTACCTGGTCACTGTTAAGTTGCTAGGTTTTAGATATGCACACACAGTCTGGTGGACAAAAGACAACTTTAAAGCGATTTTTTTCTACATGATTACTTGAACACAAGGGGAGAAGGAAAAATGAACTCACCTATATGCATCACCATGAGTAATAAAAAAAATTAATGAATAAAATACATTTGAACTGACATCTTCCCACACTCAGTTTTCAGCAAATTACATCTTGGATAAAATACACCTTACAATTATGAAAGATACTATATGTAATTGCTTGTACTATCAAGTTTTCAAGTAGCTGAGACAACTGGATTTTTAACTCCTTAATTTCCCGCTCCTCCTCCTGACTAGGATTACAAAGGCAGCTGCAGCAGCAGCGCACACGCCGTAACGGGCAGTGTCTCTTGGAGTGCTCAAAGCACTCTGCAGTAGCGAGAAGCAGCGGTCAATCAACCTGGGCCACCTGTTCACTGACTCACTATTCTCATCATTAAAATCCAACAAGTACTTTCACAAAGGTGTTTGTAAGCAAGCAAAAGGGGCAAGGTAAAGACTGGACCTTTACGACGTGCTGTTCATCATGTGTTGAGCTGCACAAAGGTTATCAGTGGCTCTCTGAAGTTGCTCACTTTGCAGCTAAGCAGAGCTAACCACAGAGGAAGATGGACAGTCATCCCATCTGTTTTCAGGATAGCTAAATATGAAAAGCTTGCTAAATTTTGCAACTGCTGTGTGTGCATCCTCAAGGCTAAGATTTATTCAAGTAAATTCCAAAGAGTTGTTCAGAGATAGTCTCTATTTTACCCATGGAATGAGTAATTTTATTTGCAGGGCTGAATGAACACACTGCCAAGAACAAAACTAGACTTTCTAGATTTTTCACTAGATTTTCTTTAAGCATTCTTTAAAAGTAGTGTTTCTGCTTAGGCTGCAAAGCCTGTTTTAAGTTCTGGATTACGCTCTCCTCTTCACCTGGAAAAAAACCAAGGATACAGTCACTGCTGACACAAAGGTGCGAGTGTGTGAAAAAAATCTCAGGCCATATATTGCACTGCTTTGCAAACTTAAAGGAAGAGGTGAGTATAATATCTACCATATCTTCCACGCTACAGTAATTTGGTTTAAACAGAGCATAATCAACAGATACAACTAAAATGTATCAATAATGAATGACATGCAACTTTCTCAAAAGATTTCTCCTGCCATCTCTTGCTTGGTTCCAATATTCCATCACCTTTTGGAGTAGAGCTAAATATTAACTTGCATGCCCCAC